AGTTGGAGGAGCTCAGCCCGACAATAACAGTAAAAAGCACCAGTAACGTCGGGTTTATCGATAGTACGATCTTTAATTATTTAGATCCAATACTGGGTTTCGGAGAGCATCCCTACCTTTCAAATAACATAAAAACGAGAATTCTCTCGCTACAGACACCTAAATATAAATGGCCTTTTCTAAGTTACGAAAAACATAACGATTCTTAGTTTCGGGTGATTCTACACCGATTGAAACATTGACTATTATAGTCAACATCTGCAAATAAACCCCCCCTATTGTTACACACTGTCCCTTTAAGGTATCGACAACCGATATCCAGCCGGGCCAAAATAAACAAAATAATTTTTACACTTGGGTACAGAGTAAGAGAAAATAATAGATAGAAACCCAACCCATTTCTGTATGCCTTTGTCTACTCTGAGGCCCGAAAATGTCTCGGCTGTGCAGTGTAAAGCCAGAAGAGGAAGTAAGTGAAGCAAACAAGGAGGAAGTGATGACTGCGTTGTATTGATTCTGACTAAATATGTGCCGTCAGTGTACATACTCAAGGCTCTCTCACAGTAGACTCACTTTCATCCTCACTCTCACCTACTGTGAACAACATCAAACGCCTTTTCTTTGTCTCCACCATAAGTATACAAAAAACACTGTAAATATCGGTCACACCTTACACACAACTTAACATCTACATATGTCAAGACTTGGACTCAACAAAAAACAGACCCATGCTTTTACCTAGCTACCTTAACTCTACTTCATCTCTTAAAGTAATAATAAAAAGAGGCTCTAAATCGCAGGAGAAGACAAAGTGGAAAAGTCTGTATGGCAACACAGCATATCCACCCACACAGAATTTAGGGCTCTCACGCAACGCTCGGGTCCTTCACTCTTGACTTTACAAAAGCTATTAAACTACAGTGGAGTTCCATGCGATGTCATTCCAAGTCAATAACTATCGAGCACTGATGCCAGTGTTCTCATATTTTAACTAATGCTAAATTGGAGAACACAGTAGCCGTGTTTCTGTTGAATTGTCAAGCAAATTTCAAGCCAACTTTTGAAATATCGATGAAGAGAAATGTGAATTAAGCATGTTTCCATCAGCTGCATCGGAGCCAATAAACTCTGCTACAGCGTAGGTATTCACTACACATGACATTAACCTGACACAAAACAAGTCAGCTTGGCTATCTAACCCATGTATGAGAGAAAAATGTAATTTCAATTGGGCAAGTTTTAATTAGTTCTTTCATGTCATCTGTATTGGTGGAGACAAAGAAAAGCATTCCGCCTTTTTGGAAATTCCGCAAAGACCCCAACAGCAGAAACAGCTGATAAAGTCATGTGAGGTAAATGTTCGCTACATCCGAATTTAATTGGCAAAGCCGCTTTCATATCCTATTTATCGTCTCTCTTTTCGACAACCGCAAAAACTACCTCGAGAGCATCAAAACTTTTTTTCCCGCATGTGAGGAAGTTTCATCAGATTTTCCTATTTCCATACATTGTGCATTAAATATGTGAATAGAATCACGGCAAGTGAAAGCAGTGTATTATCAAACTATTCTCTCTGCAGTGAGACAATATTTATCCTTACCGTTTAACTTTTCAGTCAAAGTCATGTGCTGAGCTCAGCTGCAGGCAAACCACATACTAGTCTCTCTAGAAGCTCCATGTCATTGTCATTCTATATTATTCTTAAGTGGGCTGATACCAATTGGTTCGTGTCACTGCCACTGCCTTCTCCACACAGACAATAGCAGTCTTTGTGTGTATTGCATGGCTACTGTGTGTGTCCCCTTTAACCAGGAATTTCTTTCAACGCAGCCTCTTGTTGCAATGAGTTAAAAATGGCAAAAAAAAACAAAACAACCCTCAACCAATACAGCTTCCTCTTCTCTCTGGTTGCCTTTTAGTGGTTTTTTTTTGTCTGCACGATAACAGTCATGTTAGCTGAAAAAGAACAATCTCACTGAGGAACTGAGCAACATGAAGAGGATGTACAACTTAGTACTGGCTAGATAAAACTATTACCTCATTTTCTCAAAACAGTCCGAACAAGGAAACAGTTCAAACAAGTTAAATACAAATGTAAAGAAACTTAAGAGGAAGCAACTGGAATATAAAAATAACTAATGAAAACTCTCAAGGAGTCACTGCCACAGAAAACATTCGCCTACCAATGAGCACTACTCTTTTTAATGTCCGTTGCACAATGACGTCCTATTCAGGTGACTTTTTTTCTCTCCTTTCAAACCAGCTTTACAGACATCTGCATAACCCCCGTACGCCGGGTTCACACTTGACGTGTTGCGGACGTCCGGGTCCACCTTGTGATCTTCAGCGACAGTTTTGGCGTCTGGTCTATTTTCTCGTGTGCCCGGGAGTAATCTAGCTAGAAAAAAACTTCTACAATAAACAATTTTAATTATATACTTTAAAAGGACATAAATGGTACTTAGGTACTTATTCCACATACAGTGGGTACGGAAAGTATTCAGACCCCTTCAAATTTTTCACTCTGTTTCATTGCAGCCATTTGCTAAAATCAAAAAAGTTCATTTTATTTCTCATTAATGTACACTCAGCACCCCATCTTCACAGAAAAAAACAGAAATGTAGAAATTTTTGCAAATTTATTAAAAAAGAAAAACTGAAATATCACATGGTCATAAGTATTCAGACCCTTTGCTGTGACACTGATATTTAACTCACATGCTGTCCATTTCTTCTGATCCTCGAGATGGTTCTACTCCCAGTCTGAGGTCCAGAGCACTCTGGAAGAGGTTTTCTTCCAGGATATCTCTGTACTTTGCCGCATTCATCTTTCCTTCAATTGCAACCAGTCGTCCTGTCCCTGCAGCTGAAAAACACCCCCATAGCATGATGCTGCCACCACCATGTTTCACTGTTGGGATTGTATTGGGCAGGTGATGAGCAGTGCCTGGTTTTCTCCACACATGCCGCTTAGAATTAACGCCAAAAAGTTCAATCTTGGTCTCATCAGACCAGAGCATCTTATTTCTCATAGTCTAGGAGTCCTTCATGTGTTTTTTGGCAAACTCTATGCGGGCTTTCATATGTCTTGCACTGAGGAGAGGCTTCCGTCGGGCCACTCTGCCATAAAGCCCCGACTGGTGGAGGGTTGCAGTGATAGTTGACTTTGTGGAACTTTCTCCCATCTCCCTACTGCATCTCTGGAGCTCAGCCACAGTGATCTTTGGGTTCTTCTTTACCTCTCTCACCAAGGCTCTTCTTCCACGATTGCTCAGTTTGGCTGGACGGCCAGGTCTAGGAAGAGTTCTGGTCGTCCCAAACTTCTTCCATTTAAGGATTATGGAGGCCACTGTGCTCTTAGGAACCTTGAGTGCTGCAGAAATTCTTTTGTAACGTTGGCCAGATCTGTGCCTTGCCACAATTCTGTCTCTGAGCTCCTTGGGCAGTTCCTTCGACCTCATGATTCTCATTTGCTCTGACATGCACTGTGAGCTGTAAGGTCTTCTATAGACAGGTGTGTGCCTTTCCTAATCAAGTCCAATCAGTTTAATTAAACACAGCTGGACTCCAATGAATGAGTAGAACCATCTCGAGGATCAGAAGAAATGGACAGCATGTGAGTTAAATATGAGTGTCACAGCAAAGGGTCTGAATACTTATGACCATGTGATATTTCAGTTTTTCTTTTTTAATAAATTTGCAAAAATTTCTACATTTCTGTTTTTTTCTGTGAAGATGGGGTGCTGAGTGTACATTAATGAGAAATAAAATGAACTTTTTTGATTTTAGCAAATGGCTGCAATGAAACTAAGAGTGAAAAATTTAAAAGGGGTCTGAATACTTTCCGTACCCACTGTATATGTCAATTGTGTCTAGAGAGCGAGCGCAACTCGCAGATACACACATGGACAAGAAATTGTCTTCTGGTGTAAACGGCCAGACTTCTGCTCGCGCAACAATTGCCATATCTTCGTGGCGCTTCCACGTCCAGTGTGAACCCAGCGCACAGCTTTCCTCTCCCTTTGCTTAGGTCTGTAGGAAGCCCCCGGCCCAGAGGCGGTTCTGGAGAAAACCCTTACTGGGATAATATCTGATATCGGCTCGCATAATGTCTGAAACATTCACAGAAAACCTAATGAGGGCCCTCTTACTAATGCATTACATATTGTACATAATGCCAGTTAAAGTTATGTCAGACAGCATTTGCCCAAAGCATGCAGTGAACCAAAAGGCATCTGCAGTGATACGAGCATAAGAACAGCTCCATCCAGCAGCTAGTCTGCATCTCGCAGAGCCTACTCATTAACACAACTACTTTGTGCTTATAAGAAGCTTCATTTTGTCTTCTGTGCTATGTTTTGTCTTCACCATAACGCCATTTCTCATTACGTTTTAAACAAGGGAAACAAGAGGCATATCTCATTGATTACGCGTACCTTTCTAGTACACTTGTGTGTCTGCTTTCAGAGGGACAGAGACAGATAACTAAACGTAAAGTGGGAGAAAGAGATAGACGTCGACGCTGTGCGATTTCATAAAAGGAGCATTACAGTAAGACAGCTACATGAAGAGAAAATGTTCCAAGGAGATGGTTGAGATAGCGAGGCACAAAAACAAAGTGACAGGCAGGCAGGCAGCTGTAGATTAAGCGCCATCGTGACCGCAGATGCTTACATGATCAAACCACAACACCTCTCTCCTCGTTTTGATACGTCGTGAGCTACAACCACCCTGCAAGCTGGGGATGGGTGCAATTGTTCACTTTGTGCCTGTGCGGTAGTTAATATTCAAACTGAATGACTGAATGAATTTGAGGTGTGAAGTCATCGTGAAACAGCAGCTATTGCGAAGACTTCACACCTCAAAGTCACCCGTTTCAGATGGCTTCATCAGCTAACCAGTTTGAGGAGAGAGAACATATCGAGCTACTTTCACACCGTTCACCTCTAGAATCATATCCACTTCATTAACATTCATATAGCTATATCTACTTTATTCACCTGGGTTGCGAGTTCTCCTCGTACATGCGTTCCTTGCCCTCCTTAAACAAGCTGATGGTCTGCTTGGTCTTCTTGGTGAGGTTCTCCATGAAGACACGGAAGTACTCGTTGTCCCCCAGTATCTCCATTTTGCCCTCGTAGCGAGACAAAATGGTGCGCAGGTGCTGGTAGGTGTCTGGCAGCAGGTCCAGGATGTAAGGGGGGCTGTTCTTCAAAGCCAATTTGGGGTTTTGACACAGGCGCACCACCTGCAGAAAGGGAGGATATGAGGGGGGAAGACGAGATAACGTTAGAGACAAGAAGCGGGTGCAGGAAGTAAGGTAGATGAGAGAAAAGTAAGAGAGAAGGAGAGTGACAGGGAAAGAAAATCTGCATTTTCATCCTCAGTAAGACATTATTGATATCATATAGACCGTCTTTTGTGTATTAGTGCACTTATCTGTAGTGCAGAATATTATCCGTGAGCCCAGATAGAATATATGCCAAATGAAAAATGCCAACAAAGTCAAATACTGCGAGAAAGGCCCTTCAAAGCCCTGTCAGAGTCAAGCTTGGCACATTACATGATGGAATAAATCATGGATTTAATTCCTTATGGCATCATGAGTTATTTCACCACTGTCACACTACTTCCTCTTGTATCTACACAAAAAAAGGTTACAGTGGAAAAGGACGAAAGCATATCTGCATTCATCCATGGACTGCATTCTGTTTGTCCCATTTCATTGCTAAGTTAATTATCTCAATTCCTCATTCGTGAAGCTAAGGGACGTCCTTTTGTAGGCATGCACAGCAAGGTTTACGCCTAATTATGTGACCTCCATGTCAATCATCATAAGTCACGACAGTCCGATTCTCCATTTCTTCAGACTGTTTAGAGAAGTTATTGATATTTACACTTCCTCATTTTACTCTGCACACCCTCTTCTGCCTCACAAATACAAATTCTCTTTACCCAACATTTCAGCATGATCACCTTAGAAATTTGAACAGCCGAAGCCTTGATGGATACTTACAACGTGGCTATAAGCATAATTTATAGTAAATACTAAAAAAAAAAAAAAAGCCTGTTTTTAGGGACACAAAGCTCCACTAACATCAATCATTGACCCAACAGAGGGTGGATTCTGTAACGGCTGAGCAGAGAGATAACCTTCTACTAGACCGGTTTATAAAACATGGAAATTCAGACCGTCCCTCTTGATAGCGAGTCTACGTGCTTGTTCACCAGACTGCATGAACACATGTCACATCCTCAGTAATGTTCAACCTTTCCTCACTTATCTCACTGTACTGCTGCACTGTGTCTGAGTCACTTCGTTGAACCATTACAAGAGACACTGGCGGACAGCCTAGACTCACTCCCTCACTCTGACATTAGGCTCTGTGTCGGTGCGATCCTATTTGCCACCGCATTGAAGTCCGACTTACTAGCTTGACCACAGAAGCACTTCCATTGAAAAACCCCGGGTCTCGACACAGACGTAGGCTGTCGGCTTCGTTGGTGGCCGAACAATTGCGTGTCAACAACAGGATGTGGCTCATTCTTGTGTAGACCAGGCCAGATTGTTGTCTACCAATAATGTGGATGTGTTAGAAAGAGAGAAGACAGACATATAGCAGGAATTTCCTTGCTTCTTCTTTTTGGAAGCCATCAGGTTGTCATTATGGGAAAACCAGACTTCCAAAACACTTAGTATGACATCTTACTATCAATCAGACGTAGGCCTGGAACCACATCGATTTTTCCGTTATCATCATTAATCAACAGTAAACCAACTTACTTTCTAAAGCATGAATAAACCTATTTATTGTAAACATATTGACAATCAATTCATGCCTTTCTTTCCCAAAACCTGTGTAATCCTTTGGCATTACATGGTAGTAGATTGCCTGCATTTACATATTTATTTGATACAGTTCATCAGTTCCTCTAAATTTGGTCTTAACCAACCATGGATTAAGATCTAATTATTGGTCATTATTATCATTCCCACACCTTAGCTGCCCAACTTAAAGGGGACATCTCTTGAGTCCTCAGCCCAAATGACCCATGTTTGCAATACTCAAACTGAGAGAGTAACATATCAGGAATATTTGATTCCAGTTCATAAGTGGACAAGTCAGTTCATCATCACCACTGTATCAAATGTCTCTCAAAAAGAATGAGGTCACACTTGGCCTGTAGGATATTTAAGGCAGTACTGATTTCAGTGTGCTAAATGTTTTTAATGTGTGGGCCTGAACATCAACGGTCACCTTCCTATTGACGAGTGTGAATGGATCATAGGTGACATATTTCAGTGCAATGTAATCATGGCATTATCAAATCGCTTTCAACTCTTCCAGATAAAAATAAAAAATTCAATAGAAGTCAAGGAATACCAGGGTGACTAAGGCATTGCTGGGTTAGATACTACAAGATCTAACGGATGTTTTAAGCACTAGGAAATGCAACTACCACACGACTTTCATTAAGATTAGTCATGTGGATTATTCATATATTACATTTTGCATTAGACTGGCCATATAAGACTAGCAAAGGCCTGATGATTTCATCCATTTAAAACAATATAAATTATCAAACTGAGACACAACTGAAGGAGAAAGAAAAGCTTAAAGATGCCTTTGAACAACTTCAACTGAACATATTGTACATTATAAGGATAATGCCTGTACATGTTTGTATCCTCTGTATTTTGGATAAATTCCTTGTGGTTGATATCTGGGTGATTTGACCCAGGGCAACTGAATTGAAAGCTATTTTCGGCCTCATTGCACCGTCATTCCTTTAACCCTTCTCTAGGCCTCCAAACGAAGGAGGTCTACACAGGTTATGTCTGGGACCAGATAAGAGTGTAGCCAAGGTGACACCACTAACATCATCATCAATCTACCATGCAAAGACTTGAGCCCGTAACTCAGCCAAACACACATGAGCGAGCGCTCTTGTGCGTCAGTGTCGTTCAAGGCTATTGTCCTGCGGTAAAATGTTGACTGCCTCTAAGCTAAACTGCATTTGTCTCATCGGTTTCTCTCTTCTCTGTATACGACTTGTCAGATTGCTGTCTCAGTCCATCCTGGCTGGATCTGCACCTAAATATGTTGTTCAAGTTACATAAAGATTAACCATCTTCAATGAATGTGGGCCGTGGATGATTTTTTTTGTTAGACTTTAGCTGTTAACAGGCAATTCTGTGTTTCCTTTATAGGAAAATGTTGCTAATGTAAATATGACTCTCTCAATATTAGGCCAATTTTTAAAAGTGGTCTTGATTAGTCACTTAGACACAAAAACCTGGGAAAATAGGGTGCAGGTTGAAAATATCGAAGGTCCCCTTTAAACTTTTAATGCTGTAAACTTTATTATTTAAGATTTTTTCATTTCAAGCTCAAACTTGATGCAGGTAGCTAAACTAACAACACACCTTTTGATAAGGGCATCACAAACGTAAACACAAGGGTTCAATAATTCAGGTTTGTTATGCTGAACACTTTAAGAATAGAGTTCATGTGTGTGGGCAACTCTGAAGAGAAAAATGTAACTGTCCTGGGCGGGAGGGGTTATCAAAGAGCAAGTGCATTGTTATTCTGCAGAGTTGGGCTACAGTATATTCTGGGCTGTGGTTCTGAACAATATTTCTGCTGCTATTTTAAACAATCGTGTGGAGTAAAAATACTTCCGCTCTTAAAGGTAAGCTGCTCTTTTTTTCACCTTGCTGGTACTGCTCTCAACTATTTTACTGGATCAGATGTCATATGTATGGTAAGTTATTCCCATACTGTAAACTGCATTAAGCTAACCTGACTGTGCAGGTGGTTTAAGTGTAAGGTCAGCTGTCCAGTCAACATGTCTGGATTGCAAACAGACACTAAAATAACTCTCTATGAGAGTGTTGAATGTTCACTGAGAACAAAAATAAGACAGACTGGAGTTGCAGCATTTACTTCTGTTTTCTTATTTGTGTTAGCTACACTACATCCTAAAACTGTGGGGACCAGCCCGGCAGGACAATCTACCACAGTGGAGAAAAATAAACTGGAATGTGGTTTCTTAATAATAGCTTTGTAAAATGACTTGGTCTCTTAACATCAGAGCTCTAACCTAAGGCCTCAAAGAGGAAGCAGAGACACAAAAGAGTGTCTTGTCTTCCTAGTCACTCTAATTTGGTGTGAATCTCACAGGAAACTGGGGGTCAAACTGCTACAGGCTTTTTTTTCGAGAAATGAAGGTGTGAAATGAGTCTTCCCTGTGAAAGAGAATAATTGGCCTAGTTAAACAGACACGTTTATTTTCTTTCCTTTTTTCTGAATGCTTTGTGAGTTTCCAAGGGCTGACAGACAGTTAACTGCAGACATTTCAGCAACAACGTACAAGAGAACTGTTGCTGTGCTAAGCAGCCCCTGTGATATCAGAGCACGGACATAAATTCGTTATATTTAATTCCTATACGGCATGCCTTCCTTCTGTTTTAATGCTTACGATACACATATTTAACCCTGGTCAAACGTGCTAGTTGCACCATGGTACAACAACTAGTTAACGTCACCAGAGAGTGGCACAGCACAAACAAACAGATGTGGTAAAGAAACCCTTGCTCTTCATGGGCTAGCTTTAATGTAAGGCTGCTTTAAAGTATATGTATTTTACTGAGCCTGGCACATACGGTACAAAACAATACAGTTTAGGTTGGCTAATTAGCTAACATTAGCTAACCATGTCTTCTCCCAGCTGACTAGCTTCTTTAACGTTAGCAGCGCCAGACCTGCAGCAGGCGAACATTAGCTAGCTTACCACTGGTTAGCTGCGGTGAGCTACCATCCACAGGCACCAGACGGGCTAGCACAACGTTAACTGCTAATTAACGGTGATTCATAAACTTACGAACCTTGTCCATTAGTTTCCAGCATTTCTCCACCGTCTTTTTGTCCACGGCCCCGGGCTGATGGTGGGAGTGGAGGTGGTTATGGTGTGGCTGGAAGGCATCCTTCATCATTCCGATGAGTCCCCCACCTTTCTTCAGGTTCCCTGCCATGTTCGGTCTCGGCTAGGGTCGGCCAGAGCGACAGACAGGCGCGGCAGCGCAGGGGTCAGGGGGACCGAACCGGCGCCTGGAGTTGAGCTGGACCGGGGAGATGGTGATCCGGGCACCCCCCGACGACGACTGCGCCCGAGTGGTGAATCCGAGCCGGGGTCCGACGGGGGGGGGGGGGGGGGGGGTGTAGGGAGGGAGGGATGATTATCGGATAAAGGCTCCCATCAGTGAACCTAGCATCGGTTTAAAGATAAACGTCCCGATTGAGGCTAAAGCAAGCACCTCAGTGACCGCTTTGTGCTGCAGCTAGCTGCTCCGTCTCTCTCTGCAGGGACCCACGCAGGCTAATTAGCCGAGCACCAGAACAGTCTCCGCTCTGCTCGCCCTCAGCTTGAGGACAATGGCACCGTTTCTTTGCCCAGGAGCCTTGTGGACTGGAGTGTGTCCTCTCCTCTTGTCAACCCCCGATCTCGTTCCCCTTTTTTTTGTCAGCAGCAGCAGCAGCTCTTCTCGCCTGTGCCGTGTCTTGACGGGAAGTTCAGCGGCTGTGTGACAGAGTCAGCCCTCCTGTGCGGGCTGACGATAGAGGAGCACTCACCGATGACTGGAGAGGAAGTTGCGCTTTAAACTGCGATAGCCTCACGGACACACGCACACCAGACCTGGGGTTGAATAAATAATTGTGGGAATTAAATATTTCCCAGTGCTTGTTCTGTTTCCTCCAGTGACGTGTTTGTGCGGCCCTTTCCTTTCCTGTACGTCCCCTTCCGTTCGTTTCGCACCCCCCCACTCCACTCTCAAAACTCAAACTCCACGCCTTCCCTGTGCGCGTCCACGAGCCATGAATGTAGTCGGGTGCGCGCCTCTGCCTGTACAGCATTCATAAAACGTTAAAGGGATACTGAATGGAGCACTGAACTCAAAAGGCAACAGTGCCTTAGTCAAGTTGTGATTGGCTGTTATTAAAGTCAATCAACTATCAATCAAGCTGGACAGTTAGTGCCATGGCAACTCGCCCAGCAACCAGTGCCCAGCAACAAAGACCCATCCCTGTATGTAGTTGGTCAGTGTTCACAAAGGTCTGAGCACACAGCCTCACAGCAAGCAAACATGCCTCCAAAGAACAAAACTAAAAAGACCACAATGAAAAACCCAGAAAAAAGTGACTTTGCTGATGAAATTGTTGACATTTTTGGCTTCTTTGATGCAAAATGCTTTTTTGTAAACAACTTTTACTGTCTTGTTGAAGGTGAAAATGACTTTGAAGCAAAGTATAGGCGCAGTGTTGTGGACGTAGCCGTCCTACAAGATCACATTGGTGAGCAGCAATTTTAAGTTGAGTTGCTTTATGTTATGTAGCTTTTGTTTAGGTCAAACGACCCACATATCTTTGTTATTCATATTACATCCAGAGGCAAACTGATAACTGGTGACTTATCTTGTGTAAAAACAACAAAGATAAACATTTTAAGAGATCAAGTCCATACTTTATATGTCGTGTTGATTATTTTTTGAATTCATGAAATTATCATTTAATCTTTATGATGTCAGAAAATAGTGAAAAATGCCCTTCATAATTTCTCAGAGCCCAGTCCAAAACTCAAAGATATTAAATTTCCAATTATACGTATACAACAGATAAAATCCTCACATTTGATAAGGTGGAACCAGCAAAAATGTTGTTATATTTTGATTCATAAATCCATTACACAATTACTGAGTTATCAAAAATAATAGTTTTATGATTAATTCTCCATTTATTTGTACTTTCTGTCAGTATGTGCTGTAAAACCAACTGCTATCAACTTTACCAAAATACAACTCGTGCCCATTGGCACTATTTCTACATAATGAGAAGCGAGTACATTTTTTAAACTAAATTCATCTGATGGTAAAATAATTACTTACCTTTCAGATAAAGTTTTTACACCGTAGCTAGCGGTGGTGGTAAGTGCAGTAACTAAATGCATTTACTCAAGTACTGTGCTTAAGTATGAGTACTCGTACTTTACTTGAATATTTCTGCTTTTTTGCACCTTTCTACTCTACACTTCAGAAGTAAATATACTTTTTTTATACAAAACATATTGTATGATCAGTTAAAAAATAAATCCATTGTAATAGATCACACTATCATCAAATAGTTAAAAATAACCCAACTACAACAGTAACGCTACATGTTGAAGCATGATGGGATACTTGAGCGTGTTTCACTAATAAGGCTTAAGTCCACGATAAGAAAATACTGACAACATTGAGTATTTGGAGTGTTTTTAAGAAGTAGAAGTAGACAAAAAAAAAAATCTACAACTGGTGTGTACATTCATGCATGCATGTGTTTGTGTGATTACCACAGCCTTACAGTGTGAGTCTGTAAAAAAGGTCCAGTCTGATAGAATTGACCTGAGGAGACACATGAGACACACGGAGCAGAAGCTCTGGTAAGGTACAAACGGGGCACGAATCAACAATTAGCCTTTCTTTTAATAACCTGAGAAGCGTAGATCCCTTTGGGAGAGAGGACAAGGGGCGTGTTTGCCAAGGTTAGGGTAATTCTTGAGGAACAAAAGCCTAATTAGCTGGGTGCCTAAGCTGATTGCTGCATTAGCCTAAAACAGTGAAACAGCAATGCAGCAGCGAAGTCTGACATCTTTGACGCAACTATCGTTCTAGACCTCAGTCGCCAGTACAATACCATGCAGACAGAGCTGACCAACAAGGTAAAGAGGATGAGAAAGAGGTCAGCCACCTGACAGAAGAACCTGGTATGAAAACATCTCATTTTAATGTCTATATCTAAATGAATAAAGACATAGGAGTTCCGCTTAGTTCCCAAATGAAAAGTGATGGAAATGGCATGCCTGTATGCATTTGTCTGCATAGTGCTGTGTCAGGAGGAACTGAGTAAAGAGAAAAGAGAGCGTGAGCAGGTGGAACGGGAGAAGGACGCCACCATAGCTAAGCTCCAACACAAGCTGGGCAACATGGAAACAGACTATGAGAAGATCCTGCATGTGAGTTGCAACACAAGCTAATGCAAACTTATTCAAAGAAGGCGCTGAAGAGGCAACCACTAACAGGACTCTGTAGGGTTGCCAGACATCTGTGAACTGTAAACCTGCATGTACCGGTCATTATGCACCTCTTGCACCCTGTGGAGCTGTCTCTTTTAAAGGACAGCATTGTCCCTATTAACTCTTTTCTAAAGTGACTCATTGTAGTTTGGTATTATTTTGTGCCTGCTCCATTGCACAGCCCTCTGCCGGAAACAGCTTTTTAAAAGCCTCCAGCAGTCCAGCATTCACCCTTCTGTCGAAACTATTTGGACGCCTAAGCAAAGGTGAACATGAAACGTTGCTCCAATAATTTGTTAGGACTTTCTGGTATCACAGAGCCACAGAACATCAATCTGAAGGTTAACCTGGATGCACACCACTGTATTGTTTACAATGAGAGGTGAAGTTATCATGCCAACACGACTGAGAAACCAGAACAATAAGAAATGATGATCCAAAATGAAGCAGAGGAAGGTCTTTTGTGGTTGGTTTAAGGGTCATATTTCTCTCTGTTGCAGAGCTGTTTCAAGCACTGCGCACAAATGCTTGAGTTTACAATATAACCTATAGGTATAGTATATTACTTTACACAGGGACAATAAGATGCCATTAAGACCTAATGGATAAGGAATGGGCCCAGAAATGACGTTTTGTAGGTACAGCTTAGGCGGTAGATGCCAATTTTCACCACGCAGATCTTCAAAGATAAGTGGTCAAGCCTGGAGCCCTGAGCTCAGGCTGTGATTATAGAACTATGATTTTAATATGCAATTATCATTATTTCTCTCCTCCCTCTATGACACAGAATTTAATCATGCCTTATCTACATCAGCTCCACTCCTACAACTCATCTGAGTTAAAGGTGGTTAAGAGGGGAGGAATATCAGGTTAGACAACTGGATGATTTAAAGTGAAAATTTTAGCTGGCGTCTCATTTTCACTAATGTTTTCTGCAGGAGAATCTAGACGGTCTGACTTCCCAGCTGTCTGTGGCTCGACGGGGATGGGAGGACAAGAGCACAACCCTTCATCAAAATTACAAGGAACTGCTCTCTGAATTTGGCCTGAATGTACGGCACATCTAAAAGACAAATAAAAAGCAGCTGCTCTTCTCAGTGAGACACTTTTGTTTAATGTTGGATCTACAACTGGGTTCGATTTGATCAGAGTGTTGCATCTGTTTGGTTCAATTGAAAGTGACGTCTGCGACTGCATCCTTTTGTAACTCGCAATTTAGTATGCCTAGCACACGGATGGATGTTCTTATAATATTTTACCATCAGAGTATCAAATCGACTGAGCTATCTATGCATGCGTTCACTAGCTCACCATGTGGTGTCTGCAATGTTGTGTAAACCCCACTAGATGTAGCAAATGTCTGTTTGCAGTCGGGGAGATGGTGGCCAGATGTCGTAGATACTCAGATGTTTTATAGAGTATTTTATATGAGTAAATACATGGTGTACAATGTTGCTTTTGAGACTAGATATTTCTTAAATCATAGAATACTAATAAAGTATGTGACGACTACACTACGGGTGTGAAATGAATGATACTGGGTGAGAGAACACTGCACAACAATAGAGACCAACATGATCTTACAACAGGTAACAAAAAAGGCAATGTTGATGCAATTTTCTCAGGCTGTGTTTTATGCTGAATCAGTGGACCAGAGGTCAAATATTGTAACAGGCAGGAGAAGTAAGGTGAATCTGGCCACATAAACCACAGAGATGTAAGAGACTACAATACCACCTCTGCTAAACTCGAGTACTTCCAGACGGCAGTGTTTTCATTCAAGCCAACAAAAAATAAATCATGAGAAAATATATGAGGTAGACTAACGGAGAAAGGGAAAATAACAGTTAATGATGCAAGAAATATGACATAGCTGCCCAGCATCGATAAATCCTGAGTTGTCGGATGGGGAGCCAGATAAACAGATTTGACTTCCAAGGCTGTCATTTGTGCGTCTTTTTGATTGCCTGGAGCAGTTTTTTTAGCCTCATCTGTGAGGTAATGAATCATTTTCTCCGGATGAAGATAATTCTGTGCTCTAACGACCAATTAACTCAGAAACTCAAGAGGCCTTCATCTGAAAGCCAATGTTTTCTCATTCAAACCACAAGGAGTTGTTGCTCTCAGAGGGTTTGTTTCTGTTTATTTAGGGTTTAATGGGGTTGACTGCAGTTGTCCCAGTGCTCAAAATGAGTTAAGCATAGTGCACCTGCTACTGGGGTAACACAATTATTATTAGCAGTGTGTCTTAATATTCCCCTCATGGAAAAGTTGCTGTATACAAATACCCTATGGTAGTTCTCAGTACTCAGTAAGTACTGAAGTAAAAGTATCAATACAGCAATGTAAAAAATACTCCATTATAAATAAAAGTGTTGCTTTCAAATTGTACTAATTAAGTACAGCAATAGTATCAGCCAAATGTATTTCGAGTGTCAAAAGTAAAAAATGGCCCCGGTGATCATGTATTACTGTATTATTAGGTTGTTAATACGGATGCACATTGCACATGCAGCATGTCATAGCTGGTTGAGGTAGTGAGATAGTTTTAACAACTTTATATACAATTGGACTGGTGTTTTAAACCAGTGGTTTAGGAGTCGGCACCTTTCCAAAGGGTCACACCCTTTAATCTAAGGGATTATAAAATGATTACCTGGGTTGGAAAGAAGATGAAAAAAAAGTCCTGCTGATCACATTTTTAATCATTTTTTTCTTCCTTCTTTGCTTAAAAAATATATTGGATCATTTTATCTCTTTTGGCCTTAAATAGTTATTCAAATGAATCTCTCTGAGATGCTTAAAGGGGAAATGTCTCTTAGGTGGAATTAACAACATCTCATAGACATCTTAAATGTTGGGGGCCCAAACTAGATACTGCTCTTTTGTTGGAGGTCTCAAGCCAAAACAACTAAGCTCTAACAATTCATTTTCTTAGCTTATAATATGTGTTTATGTTCAATAAGAATCTGAAAAGTAACTAGAAACTGTTGCTGTTAAAAAAGTGTAGTAGAGTACAAATAATAATAAAAATGTACCTCTATAATGCAGTGAAGTAAAAGTATAAAGTAATGAATACACTTATGTACTTTCCATTCATGTAATATACCTAGTAAGTAAATACCTTAGGAGTACATGCCCTTTTTCTACAGATTTACCAACTAATCATTAAACATGGGCACCATCAAAACGTGTCCTTGGTGATTAATGAACTTCTTCTAGTTTGAATCCTGTTAATGTTTGTCTGCTCTCATCGATGCATTTGAGACAAATGGTGCTTTATAAGAAAGTGAAGTTATGGGAAGTGAATGGTGTCATTGGACCCTTCAATCTTTGGAACTTTAATCCAAGGTCAACTAAATATTTTTGTACAAACATTCAACAAAACTGAGTTTTGTGACGAATTCATGTGGCTCTCTGCATAATCCCAGGCGGTCTGAGGTACCCAAGTAATTGATTTTCACAATAAAAGCTGTCGGCTTTCATTTTTCTGATGAATACCTGAAAATCAGTGCTGGCTGCCGCATTTCCACTGGAATTTGACTTGGCTGTCTACTGCGTCTATTCAGCTTTTGGGTAAATACAAGGAGACGGTCTCCAGCTGATGAAACAAGATGCCCACACTGTGATTTCCCATGAAGGCAAGTGCATGAGAGGGGTCACATACAAATACACCCACACACATAAGCCTTCTAACCCACCTATTCACACACACACACACACACACACACACACACACACACACACACACACGAAAGTAGGTAATGAATGCGTCCCCATCTGTGGGCTATCGATCAAGGCAGGAATGAATAGTGAGGGAACAAAACACAAAATAAATGAAGCTCCATTTTATTTCTCTGAAAGACAAACAATGCCAAGATGTTTTTGTCAATATGTTCATAACCAAATGTCAGAGAACAAAAGGCTGTATAACAGCCTGGACAGCATCTCACCTTGGAGATAATTCTTGAATACCTTTTCTTTCAGAACACAACAGCTGAAGCCTTTTTCAATTAATTGCCAGAAAATCAATGAGAAAGCTCTCACTTAAAACCGTCTCACTGTGAAGTAGCTCGTTTCCACTGATAATCTGTTATGTCTTCGAATTGGTATCCTTAGATCCAGTGCTCAATAGTGGCTGTTATGGGGCCTATGTTTACATATATGTTCCTAACCGTGGGAATCTGGGAGGGGAAAGAAACAGTTCGACATAAAGATGCAGTAGAAATGTGATGAATAGATTTAACAATTGCTATTAGAAAGCAAAATTGTATCTCCATAGACCCAGAGCTATAGACCAAAATATTCTGTGAGGGTTAAAATGTATGAATTTTATGAGCAAAATGGCAACAACATTTGTTTACAAGCAACAGGCTGATGGGAAAGTCACTCTTCAAATACATGGGCCGTGAGCTGCTAGCCTGGCAAAATGCATCAGACTCAATACACTATAATTCCTAAATCCTTGCAGAATTACAATCAACTACAAGGCAATTGTATTGCTATGTGCTACAACTGGTTAAGCTTGAGGAGTGAAGTTGATTTTCACACACACCTCTGCAGGCACTCGATGCTCATCATGAGCGCCATAAATCCAACAGCAGCTAGGCAGTGGTGGGTAGAGATTCACTGAATTTATGGACCTTGAGCGCCAGAGGCAGAAGGAGAAGCATGAGCACGATGAAATCAACTTGACACAGCCAGTGACGTACAGGTGGCGGTGAGTGTTTATGTGCTTGTGTCACTCTTGTAAGATGTGTGTGTGTGTGCTTTGGATATGCACTGTGACATGTAGGTTGGTGACGCACTGAAAAAAAGCTTGTCATCTCTAATGCTGCAGTAGAAAGATTGTGAGACAGGCACTCGGAGGGGAGAGAGAGAGAGAGGCAGCCTGAATTGAACTGTAAATCAGATGCATGGTCGTTGTGTGTGTTCACTCACTATGCTGAGGAGACATAAATGACCACTGAAAAAAACGCTAATAGATGGACTACAGGTGAGTGGATGCTTATAGCACATGAGTGAGTTGTTATACTCATTAGCCTGTGTTAGCCTTCCTGCCCACACACATTATCAGCTGTTCAACGAATTCACAAGTGTGCAGACGTTAATTTGGTTATGGGAGATAAATGAGAGGTAGATGCACGAGCTCCTTCTGGTTCACTCAGCAATCGTCGTGTTTCCTCAGCTAGAAACCCATACATCCTCATACTGCTTCCCTGCATGCGCATCATTTTCATAACAAACCAAATGCACTGTCTGAATATTTCTCCTGGTTGAATAATAAAGCTAGAAAAACAAAAGTGCACTCAGACGCTATTTAGCATGTCATGTCTAAACAGCTCAGAAGGTCAATACATCAGAGTAAAGAAGAGACAAAACCAGAGCCCCACAGGATAGAGCTTGTTTTTTGGAAATGTATTTATAATGGAATAAAAATGTCAACATAAGAAAATAAAGTATATAAAATATAGCAGCCAAACCCTGCCATCTCTCTCAGTGGTCTCCCAGCAAAGGTCACTCGCTGTTTCAGTGGGATTTATTTTAATTCTTACTCTACTGCTCTCTATGCCTTCAAGGTAATTGGCAATCTCATTCCAACTATGCTTGATTTAGCACCCGTGTAAATGTTTTTAGTGTTTAAGAAGTTAGCATCGGGTGCAGCGAGAGCCTTCTCACTCTTATGAGTTTCTTATCCACATTCAGCAAATGGATAGAAACTTCTTTTACAAAACTGGTAATGACATGTGGGTCTTTTTTTTTTCTTTGCTATTTGCCTTTAACAATTTATTATACAAAGAAAGATAGAAAGTTAACACTGACTGTATGTGAATATTTTTTTTCACCATTTTGCTCACAATCTGTGTGTGTGTCCATATGTATACGCGTCTAAATGTCATGTGTCCATATAAACATAATGCACAGTAGGTCTGTACCTCTCTGTTCTATTAACATAATCAACTTGTTACTCCTGTAATTACAAAAAACAACACTTTGGACTATTACTTGGGTACCCTGTTAATCATACTGTATTTACACACCATCTGCAGTTAATACATTAATAGTTCATTACTTGAGGATTAGGTGGATTGGCACTATTGGTGCTTAAGCAGATGATGACATAATGCCTTTGCGACTCATTTCTTTTCTGTGCCAAATCATGCAGACTCAATGCTGTTTCAAACACCGATGTGTTCTTGTGGGAGTTCAGACAAACTGCAGACCCCAATCGAAATGCCATCTGATGTCCCAAGACACTTTCCCGAAGCTAATTCAACTGACATTGAAAAAGTGGGGGAAAAAAAACTTAGATTGAAATTCAACTCATTTGTGAGACCAGTCACCCAATTGCTCAGAACCATCAACTCACTGAAAACTCTCTTTTCAGTGAGTTGGAGGGGCGTTACAATTGAGCTACAGTTCCCTGTCAAGTCTGTCAGCGGTTGATTCAATACAGTTTCACACGTTCACTAGCTTCTGAAAGAGCACAACAATCACGGCAATTAATGCAACAAAAGGTGCTTGAAAAATATTGTTTAGGCAGTTTAGGTGAACTCATATCATTTGAAATGGTAAAACAAAAGACTGATTCAACAAGAAAGGGGAGATCACTCACATATGTGTCTGAGAGCCATGATTATCATGATTCTACATAAACACATTGAACATCTCAAATGTATTGTACAAATTATGATTAATTACTTTGTAAAGAAGTGTATTTTATCTAAGAAAGGAAATTCTGCCCCAATATCCACGTAATTTCTCCATTAATTACCATTATCTACCATTTGAGAAATGGCAACTCTAGTGGGGCAAAATTGGGCAAAATTGGGCAAAATGTGAAGAGGATGCTGAATCGTCAGGCCGATTTTGTCAGTGTTAAATTATTTTTCTTTCAGGGGTTGTCTTTTCTTTTATGGACATTTTTTTGATTGTTAATAGTTTCTTCTTCCTTTCTTTTGTTTGTTTGAAATAACTTTGTCTGGTAAGATTCACACAGAGCTGCTGGACCATTCAGGAATTTGACAATATGTATGTTGGCTTCTTAATGTGTCACAGAGAGACTGGATTGGAGGTTTTACATTTGTGTGTAGGAGCTGTGATCTATTTTGATTTTGTGACACAACAATGAGGTGTGACCTATTGACAATAACGCAAAAAAGCAAAACAAAACATGGTGAATGGTCAATAGGTCGGCCACATTTTGAGGGACTGTTACTGACAAAACCTGGTGGGCAGATTTAAAATGATGAACACATCAGACATAAGCAAAAAGCAGTGAAGACAGGTGGATGACCATTGATTCCCACTGCGCAACAGTCAGGCTATCATATAGTTTCACCTTCAAATCAGTCGGTTCAGTGAGAAAATACTAGTCGTGTGTCGTCAGCCTATGCAGGAAGTAACCTAAGACTCACGTTGCTGGTTATGTTATGTTCCTTATCCGTTTGCATTAAAACCTGACTCTTAAAGACCTGATCAATGTATTTAATATTTGGTAGTTTGGTGGTAAGTATAAAAATGTCAGAGGGCATCTCGGCAGATCTGAAATGAAATACTCCTCGAAGCAGTGTGCTAAACATTACATTCAGTAAAAGTTTAACTGCCTTGACATTTGAAAAGAATTCGAATCAACTGCGGGTATAAAACACGTTGCTCTACCACGGTCTTCATGGTTTCAGTTGGTCTTGATATAAGATAACATCACATACACTGGCTTGTCTTTGTGAAACCTGGATCATTCTACAATATACCTCTAATCTTATACAGACTGCACAGGAGACTGTGTGTATATTTTAAGTGAGAGACCATTAAAAAGGACAGGTGATAAGACAACAAATGTGTCAGGGTGTCCAAAAATGTAAAGACAGATGGAGGAGAAAGTAATGTCACTACACGGAGGAAGAAGGAAAATAATGGATGTCTTCGTGTGTGTAGCCATCATGTTTTTAAGCAGGTATTCAAAACAGGATATCGTTACTCCAGCTAATCAGCAACCGCTTTAGCAATTAATCATACATGAGCACCTTCCAACACCTCTGGACATGCATCGCTGTCTTTCAGAGATACCAACAGTTAAAACATGTTTTAATAGAATATGACTACTATAAAAGAAGTCTGTGTGTCTGCAAGTCCCGGTTTATTTGTTCTCTAGGGTCAGTTGAGTTTGTTGACTTCTCAAGGCTGTGGTGCTGTCTTCAGCCACAAGATAATACTTCTGGTTTTTGGCACTTTCAAAATAAAATGATTTGAAGATGACCTCTCATTAGTCTGTTCATCTTTGCAGCTCTTCAGAGGCAATATACGTTCATACAGTAAATTGTCAGATAAAAAAAGGAACATATTTAAAGTTTTTTTCTAAGAACAATAGATTAACATTATTCTGGACTGATAATCCAACAGAGGACAGAAATAATTTAAAAAGGGGGAAAAAAACAGCACATGATAAATGACTGAAAATACTGCATAGTACAAATGCCACGTAGCTGTTTTCGTTCGTCCTGGTTGACTTAGTACGGAGGGCCAAAAGGGACAGACCAAAACGAGACAGACTCATCAGTTTCTCCTATGACCAAGGCAAAACACATTCACCCAAGGAGACAGCAAAACTGACTACAGGCGTTTGCCTCGAGGGCAAAACAAAGTTCACAGCACCGTCCTGCCCTGTGAGATCAAGCTCCGAATGGCTGAATCAAAATACCACGTGATCTTTGATCCCTGTAAAGTAGAGAGGTGGCTGTTGGGAAAGTCAGTCCTGTTGTAATCGCGGGGCGTTATTCAGGTTCACTGCTATTTGTGGTCTTGTCCCACTCTATGCTCTCCTCACTGTGTGTGGGAGAAGGGAGGGCCCCAGTGGCCCCTGCAGGACGCATCCTCAGTCCCTGGAAGCGCCGGCACTCGGGGCAAATGCGGATGTGGCTGCACCCCCTCGCAACCAGGGCAGCCTCCTGTGCCAGTCTGTGGGAGAGGGGTTCAGGCAGTCCGGTGCCTCCACACAGCTTGCCGTTGCTGAGGCTGACGGCAGCAGCTCGCGCACGACGCTCATCCAGGGGTAAGGGCCGCGGTCGCACTATCGAAGCCCCCCGCCTGCGCCTCACCTGCAGGCTGTCGCGACACAGGACGATCCCATGGAGCTCCCGCAGCATCTCCTCACACACTGACTGCTGCAAGCACACAAACAGGGAGAAAAAGATAGGGGAGAGGGGGGATCACAGACACACAACACATACATTTCATATATATATTATCATAATCAGTGTACAGTGACAGAGAGATGGCTGGTGTAGCTTTAACAACCATCGCTAAAAATAACAACACATACTGTATAGTATGGAACACTTTTCAGAAATACAGACGTGTTGCACACACATTTTATCTCCTGGTCTGATGAGCAAGTGCTCTACCACTGGGTATACCATCTACACTATGTAAACTCAAATGACAGACATGAATCTGCAGCTCAGAGAGGCTAATTAACAATCCACACATGCTGGACATTAACACAGCATCTATACAGATACACACAGGGAGACACACACACACACGCGCACCTACACACATACACACACACACACGTGCACCTACACACACACACACACACACACACACACACACACACACACACACACA